ATTGAATAAATTTCGTAATATGGTAAGTGTAGAGGGAAATTATGAAACTGGAATTTCCTGTCCACTTGCTTTTTATTTCGAAAGGCTCGTTCACCCCGAAACCTTTTGTTGGCACTTGCTTCGGACTGGGTCACCTGTGTACAACAACTTGTGTAGGATTTGGTCACCTATGTTCAACCTGGAGTACGGTATGTGTTGATCTAAGAAAGGATCCCCCGTACAATTAACCCTTTAACTCTCAAGATCTGATTAGAAATTCTCCTTTCTGGCTGCTATACAGTTCCTTGGTCATTAGTGAAGAGAATTGCTCTTTATATATGGAGATAGAATCTGCTAGCTGATGCCTTTGCTAGTTCTCATCACATGTCTGCTGAACAATGTATATCACTTCTAGGAGTTAAGGGTTAACGAAGTACATGATAAATAAGCGTATATTTTCGCCAAAGAACAATGCTTTCAGGTTAGGTTTCAACAATTCAATAGTAGTTTAGCTTGTTATTTTTAAAAGGGAAATTGTTGAATAGCTTTCTAAGCTGCTCTTTTGAAAGCACGCACCTCAAATAAATGTAGCTGATCTCGCCTTGTGAACGAGAAAAACGCTGTAAGTATTCAGTATCACGGAGAAGGTTATACCAGCTTACAAAAGTACTCCTCTAAAATAAGAGAAATGTTCAGCCGTCTTATAACAGAGCAGAAGTATTTGAAAGTAATATGTTAATTTTGATATTGGCCGTCAGCTTTGCGACTTCAGATTTCTTCAATTTTATGCAATTATGAATATAAATCGGGCAACCCTGGTGCCATTTCCACACGAGTATGTTTGTAAACTCAGGAAAATATGCGCTTTTATCGCTGCACACAAGGGCAGAACGATGATGGTTCTGTTACTCAAACAATCCAGGGATTGTTTAGGAAAAAATTCGTTTATGATTGATCATGTTTTTGAAGGTGGGGAGGGGAGGATACTCAACAAATGTTTATACGGGGAGGCTCCGCCAGGAGGTCCAACCCCTAATCCTTTTTATACTAACCATTTTTCACAAAAAAGATACTCCTTTCGTATACCCTCTATTGGCAAATAGTACCCCTTTCACATACCTTGTTTAGAACTTTGCATCCATTTTAACTGCTGTAAATGCACTGTCTTTTCAGTAGGAATCAATCACAAAAATAAAACGTTTTCCCGACTTTACCAAGCCTTAACATTCATCTGTTAGCCCTTTGGACCCTTTCACAGGCCCAAATGGCAGATTTTCCTTCAACGAGTAAAATCCCTACCCTTTCATATACCTAAAGCCTGAGAAAGGTACCCCATCCGGGCGCAGCCTCCCCTTATAGGCCATTATAGGGAGTACCCCCCCCCCCCCCCCCCCGTGATGAAAGCCGTTAACGCATAAGTATGAATGCGTTTAAACCATAATCGTGTGGTCATAGACAGGCCCTTTTTCTGATCAGTTATTCCATTCAAAATAACACGTGGCTGATATTCGACCAGACGAATGATATTTTAGCCAAGAAAGTATAATGAGAGCAATTCCAATCTTGCTTGTAGCATGTCGAACGCAGTCATCGCTGAGATCCAAGAGCACGAAACTTCCTTTTCTCAATGATAAGAAGAAGATCGACGGGCGGGACCAAAGCTGTAGAAAGGTCTTTAAGCACAGTGAAAGACAGGGTAAGAATTTTTACAGTAATAATTTATTAATGACAATAGTGAATAATAGTTCGTGTAAGAACTCAGTTGTCCAGGGCGGTTTTCAGTGAGTTGCACAAAATAAATAAAAGAACGAATAAGTAATTAGCTTAGTCATTAAGGTAGCTGAACACAGTTTTATAGGTTTTGAATCTTTACCGTTCATTTGGATGTTATGTAAGACTTGTTACAGCTGTGCAGCTGAGCTGGCATGGACAAAATATATTCATAAAACATAACATTTATAAATTTAAACAATATCATCGTTGTCATGGTAACATGCATGATTTAAATCTAGCTTAAAATTTTGAATTTAGTAGGTTTACGCAAAAAATCAGTCATTAGATTTGCTTAGGAAATTGCAGACACCTTGGCCATTCTCATATGACGTTATATACCGACTTCAGAGTATATACGGCCTCATTAACGGACCGTATACCGTTCCTATTTCAGAGAGTGTATTGCAGTATTCGGTTAAATACTTCGAGAAAGTCTACAGTAATCGTGAAAGGGTCCTTTTTCGGAAAGGAAGGTATAAAAATAGGTTCAGTACCGGCATTTTTTATTCCTTTTCAACGTCTAAACGTCTAGCCTCTTTCAGTTTCCTATCTTTATGTACCGGTCGCGACGACAGTCGAGTACTCGTTCCTGCACAGGTACCCAAAAATCGTTGTTGCGTGACAGAAATATTGTAAGGGTTTGTATGGGTATTTCAGCGATCGTTATTTAGGGCTCAAAAATAGTAATAACACCAGACATCAGAATTTCTTAACTTGTCTCTGTGTTCTTGGCATTTTTGGCCTTTTA